TCAAGGCCTATCCTGTCGCATCAGATGTTTCACTACACATCCTGAGTTTAACTTAATTCCTGTTTCAGAGTGTCTGTGTATTTTATATTGCAGGATCCAAGCAGCATGCTTATGCTTCCACGCAGATTACATATTTGCACATTTTCCAAAGCATGTTTATATGCAATACATTTTATATTTTCCACACGGGTCACGAATCTTTCATATGACTCGGGAATCACGAGTCATATGAAAGATTCGTTCATTTTGAACGAATCACTCGCGAACGACATATCACTAGTGGTAAAGCATTTCCGGTCCAAGATGGCGGCGCGTGCACACGCAGCGGCTCCTCTCTGTCCCGACAAAACGGTGTTTTCTTGTGATTTAAAGGAGACCTTCACGGCCACCGACCCCCACTCTCGTATTCCACCCGCAATGGAGGTGCCACAAGCGGAACATGAGGAAGCAGAAGAGGGGTAAACGCTGAGGTATCCGGGCTAAGCTAGCGGCTAGCCCTTACCGGCCGGCTATTCCTACGATCACGCTGGCGAACGTACGCTCCCTTGACAACCAGCTGGATTATATCCGTTTACTCCGCTCAACGTCGAAACCCGTGGGTGAGTGCTGTGTCCTTGTTTTTGTGGAAACGTCCCGGATTGTGCCATTCAGCTCGATCGGCTAACGTGCTACCGTGCGGACAGATTTCTGATTTCTGATTCTGAATGAACTCTACCACCACATCAGTGAACAGCAGACAGTCCATCCAGACGCCTTCCTCATCCTGGCTGGTGACTTCAACCATGCAGACCCTAAGAGCGTGTTTCCAAAACTCAGTGGACATATTAACTTTCCTACACGAAATAAGAATATTCTTGACAATGTATACACTCCACAGAAAAGTGCCTACAAAGCTCCATCTCTGCCTTACCTAAGTGCTTCAGACCACACCACTGTTATGCTAATACCAGCATACAGACCACTGGTCAAAACAACCACACCAGTAAAGAAACAGGTACGGGTGTGGCCTGAGGGGTTGTCAGAGGCACTCCAGGACTGTTTCTCCACCACAGACTGGAGCATGTTCAGACAGGCAGCCACATACAACATCACTGACCTCCAGGAGTACACAGAGACTGTAACTGCCTACATGCACAAGTGCATCGACGACGTTACAGTCACCAGAACCATCTCCATTCGGGCCAATCAGAAGCCATGGCTGACAGGGGAGGTCCACAGGCTCCTGAAGCCTCAAAATTCTGCTTTTCGAGCCGGGGATGCAGTAAACCTGAGAACAGCCAGGGCTAACCTGTCACAAGGCATCAGAGAGGCCAAGAGACATTACTCCAAGAGTATCTTACACAACTTAAGTGACAGCAGAGACACCAGGAACCTGTGGCAGGGCATCCAGACCGTCACGGACTACAAATCCTCACCTCAGACCTGCGCCAATTCCACCTCCCTGCCGAACCCACAGAACAACTTCTTTGCTCGCCTTGAGGCAGACAACAACACCCTGGCACAGAAGTCTCCAACCCCGCCTGGCGACCAGATTCTGACACTATCCACTGACAGCGTGAGAAGAACTCTCAGAAGAACAAACCCACGGAAAGCACCAGGTCCTGACAAACTTCCTGGCCGTGTCCTTAAAGACTGCGCCGAGGAGCTCACGGATGTCCTCACAGACATCTTCAACACCTCACTGAGCCAGGCTGTTGATCCCAAGTGCCTTAAAGCCACCACCATCATCCGAGTCCCGAAGACTTCATCTCCCTCAGGCTTCAATGACTACCGCCTGGTCGCACTCACCCCCATTCTAATGAAGTGCTTTGAGCGGCTAGTCATGCAGCACATCAAGGCTGCCCTTCCGCCAGCCTCAGATCCCTTTTAGTTTGCCTGCCGTTCCAACCGTTCAAATGACGACGCCATCTCCACTGCCCTCCACTCAGCCCTCACCCACCTAGAGACAAAAGACTCTTATGTCAGAATGCTGTTCATAGACTTCAGCTCAGCGTTCAACATAATCATCCCCCAGCAGCTCATCCACAAACTGGACCAGCTCGGGATCCACACATCTCTTTGCTGGACTTCCTGACAGGAAGACCACAGGTAGTTCGGCAGAAATACCTTGTGCACCATCACACTAAACACAGCCCCCCCCCCCCAAGGATGTGTGCTGAGCCCCATCCTCTTCACTTTGCTGACCCACGACTGCACACCAACATTCAGCTCCAACCTCTTCATTAAGTTCGCGGACGACACTACTGTGGTAGGTCTCATCAGCAACAGTGATGAGACAAGGTACAGGAATGAGGTTAGCCGCCTGGCTTTGTGGTGCAAAAACAACAATCTCTGCCTGAACGTGGAGAAGACAAAGGAAATTGTTGTGGACTTCAGGAGGAAGCACACCCAGCACACTCCCCTTAACATCAATGGTGCTGCAGTGGAGAGGGTGGGCAGCACCCTCTGTGCACCCTATGTGGAAGCAAGTTCCTGGGAGTGCACATCTCTGAAGACTTCTCCTGGACAATCAACACCACATTACTGGCCAAAAAAGCCCAACAGCGCCTATACTTCCTCCACAAACTTAGAAGAGCAAGAGCACTGGCCCCCATCATGCAGACCTTCTATAGGGGAACCATCGAGAGCATCCTGACCAACTGCATCACTGTGTGGTATGGTGCCTGCACCATGTCTTGCCGCAAGACCCTACAACGCATCGTGAAAGCAGCTGAGAGGATCACTGGTGTGTCTCAGGACATCTACAACACCCGCCTCACCCACAAGTGCATCAAGATTGCAGATGACTCCTCCTACCCAGCTTACAGCCTCTTAAGCCTACTGCCATCAGGCAGGAGACTGCAGAGTCTCAGAGACAGAACAAGCAGGCTCAAAGACAGTTTTATCCATCAGGCCATGAGGAGACTCAACTCCCTACCTGCTCTGCCCTCCCTCCCCCCTCTGTCACACACAGACTCTACTGTGCTCCTCCTATCCTCCGCAGTCCTCACACATAGTCTCTCTTCTACTCATTTGCACTAAATGAATAAAAACAACTGTGGATCCTCATCAACATATTGCACTATCCCATGTACTACCTCACCCCCAACCAAATAAGCTAAGTCATTACTGTCTTTATTAATTCACCACTCATCGTTCATTCTGCCTGTAATTATGAATTACTGAGTAATGTCACAGCACGTCTTTCAGGATATATTCTCACGTGTGTTTCTTTGTACATTGTACATACTGTATATTGTTAGTTTATGTCTGTAGGTGCAATGGGTCGAGTGCTGCTTAGGAGCACTCAGTGTTATTAACCAGTCTTAAATTAATAACACAACCAGTCTCGTTAAAGTTATCTTTAATTGTTATTTTATCCTACAAATACAGCAATAATGTATTACTTGAAGTATTACAAATATACTAAAATCAATAGTATTCAATAACAAATATCTGAAGGATTTTGAGAGTTCTTGGCAAATTGGGTGGCTTCAATGAATAAAGTAACAACACAGACAAATACAGTTTACAAAAATAATCAAATTTATTTATACAACACTGTCAAGTTAATGACGGTGATTGAACTCATAAACAATGATCATTATAACAAAACAAGGCGTGTGTGTAGGGG